CTATCGTTCAGACCACGGATCAAATCCCATTCATGTCACATCCATACTCCTGCACGAATCAACTTTTTGAAGAAGGGTTTGATACTCTCCTAGTAGTACATTCAATTGTATGAGAAAATGCTTTCAAGATCTCGTGAGATTTTTGAGTGGAAGTAGAGTGCATGGCGTAACTACCTAAAAAAACCGAGTATTGGAACCAGATTTTATTCTCAGTTTGCGGAAATCACCTCGGCTATTTCCGATATCCTCCGTGATGCGTATAAGGCCCTGTCTAAAATTAAACAAGACGAGGAAGTCTACGTCAGAAGCTTAGTCCCGGCTTACCATTGCTAAGAAATTGGTCCGAGTTTATCGGCAAAGCATTTCTAAGCCATAATTCATCTAGCAGATCTGCTTGGTACGTAGAAGTTCTTTACAAATAAATAATAATCAACACGTAGTTATCGCCCCCAGAGAACGCACTCAAAGCTATATGTAGAGCTCGAAAAACAGTTCAAAAATCTGCTTAAAAATGTTTTCATCACCTGAGGACAAAAGCGATGTACTGGCAAGAAATCTTTGTTAATCAGGTCGTTTGCAGGTACCGTAATGAATGCCGTCACTGTTGTCGTGTTGACACGACCATCGATGCTATCGCCAATTAATGCCATTCTTTGTGCAGTAGCCATTTNAACACGTAGTTATCGCCCCCAGAGAACGCACTCAAAGCTATATGTAGAGCTCGAAAAACAGTTCAAAAATCTGCTTGAAAATATTTACATCATCCTAGGACAAAAGGATGTGTCCTAGCAAGAAAACTTTGTTAGTCTGATCCCTTTGCAGGTACCGTAATGAATGCCGTCACTGTTGTCGTGTTGACACGACCATCGATGCTATCGCCAATTAATGCCATTCTTTGTGCAGTAGCCATTTGTGATATACTGGTAATGACGTCCGTTTTGGTGTTCGTCTATCATTTCCTCATATCAGCTAATCTCAGGTGAGCAAATTTCTAGAATTTACTAGTATTCAAGCTTTCTTCTACCTAGAAGGGTAATGACAGGCTCTAGAAAAAGCAAAGAAGTTCAACCTCCGGTGAACCTCCTTTTATAGGATTGGGAAGCTGAAAAGAGTGTCTCATAAGTTCTGTCTAAGAGTGAGTTTTTCAGGTAGTATAGGTTCGAAGTAAGGTATCGTAGTTACTAGAGTAGTCTTATCGCTACATGCATCTGTTGTCGGTATGAGAGCCTTCCTAATCCTCGGTGTCTTACTTCGGCAATTCTGCAGGGTTGCTATGGAGGTGTAGGCACTAGTTCACCAAAACCGAAACGGTCTAGAGTGCACAAATACCCTACTCTGGACCTACCCTACCCAAAATTTCATTCTTACAAAAAACTCTGAGACTCACCTACCACATGATGTCGCCTTGTCCATGAGCCTGTCTACAGCCAGAAGCCCGTAAACCGCTCCCAAAACTCCTCAGGATAACTTCAGAGAATTGAAGGACACTGTTTCAGGTGTGATCCAGAGGATTACGACAAAAAATGGGCATACTTTTTGTTTGCACATTCGCAAAGTACCGTGATTCTGCATGCGACCAGTATCTGGCTTACGGTAGGTTTTCTTCAGAGTTGATATCACTCCAGCTTCCTCCAGAAAACTACAAACTCTATAATTCCTCCGTGAAGGCAATCTTGCTTTGTGAAATTTCAACGATTTTGGGAAATGATTTCAATCTTGACTATTTTGAAGTTAATATGACCATGGAGTATTTTAAAAATTCGAAAATTTCCTTACTTGATCATCATTCTCCCCTATTTCAGGTACTTCTGGCTCAGATCCGAGTCTATACCATAAAACGGGCAACGGCTGGTCCATCAGAAGCGATATCAGCTCGATCCACCGGCGGCATAGCCCTCATCACTCTTTGTGTCGTCGCCTTAGTGAATATACCGAATTTTATGACCTTTGAGGTGATTTTATGAGTATTTGTTTCTGAAAAAANAAAAAACAGGCCTTGGCAAATAAAAGCCGGTAAATACATCAGAAATCGTCAGCAATGCTGACGAAGTTTTATTCCTCCGCATTACGGCCTGTTATCGACCAGAATCAGACCAAGCGGGTGTACGGCGCGTTGGTAGATGGGTGGCCACAGCACTGTGGGCGGTCAGCGCGTATTTACAGCCAATGAAGAAAGCATGAATTCCTCGTTTGCTATGCTCCCTGAGCGCAACCTATCCCGTCTGAGGCTGTAATTCCCGAGTAGTCCTCGAGTTCGAGGTGGGCTTGTTCCCTGATCAAGTAGGTATTCCCACGAAAAGTGATAGACATAAGGAATGACCACCATCTTGCATGCATGGCCCGGGATCAGATCCTGGATGCGTCCACGCTAACCCTAACAATCCATCGTTCCGTTGAACAGTTCTGAGCCGATTGCACCCACACCCAATCCGTTGCTTCCTGGATGGAATATCCTAATTATAATCTACTCATTTTATGAAAACCATTCACCTGGCTTAAATTGGACGCTTTCAGATAGTGGAAATTGATGCCGAACTTTGGCTTCCGTGCCTAACATCAGCGACACAGGAAGAACTCAAAGAAATGAGTTCATCAGTAGTTGATGTGATAGATTTGAGTCTGAATGAAACGCAAGCGGGATCATACGGAAAAGTCTTCCATGTACGACCTTCGGAAGATGACTGCTTTCTGCTCAAGGTTTGTTCTGAGTTCGCTTTGATCTATAGTTCGTCATTGGGAATTTATTTCGTAATTCTAGCTGGGAGAACCTGAAAGGCGGATAAGTAATCGTGGAGTACTTTCCTTTGAGAAGTTATGGAAACTAAAAAGCAACATCCTTGAAGACTAAGTTAAGGTTTTTTTTAGAACTCCCTCCCGATCTCCACCTTCCAAATTCATTCCAAAGTTCGGAAGTGCCAGTGCAAAAGAGCATGTCCACAATCTAGAAAGTTCTAAGATTTGCTGAGAACTGGCCAAAAATAGCATTTTGCTATTTTTTGACAAAAAAATTTCAATTGCCAGGTCAATTTTTTGGGAAATCTTTGAAAGGGAAATATTTCTTTTGCTCACGAAAACGGAAATCATGTGAGAATTCGGCCTCAAAAATCTAAAAAAAATGTGGGTTTCCGTATGTTTGTGACCATTACTGCAGACAGACCTAGAACAGCTCACCAAAAAGCGCTTCTGTGAGTTTTTGATTCCCATAGACCTTGCAAAATCTTTCTGAAATTCACCCTAAGACTAGGACATTTGTATCGACCTATTCACTGCATCAATATGAATTCCTGAAATTTTCATCGGGGGACGATTGAAATTTTCCCTTATAAGAAGTGACTTTCAGGTTGCATTTTGGACAAATGGTATTTTCTTCAAAGTCGTACCATGCACACTTCTCACAGTTTCAATTATCGCTCTTTTGAAGATCATTCGTGATGTATCTCATCGGCGGAAAAGTCTTGCACAGGTTGGTTCTACAGCAGGTTTACGCTTTACTTGGGCAAAAAATTTGAGCCCAATCAATCTTTCCCATGTCCATTAGTCATTTTTGAATTTTCATCCAGGGTGAAGATGAATCCACAAGGGGTTTCCATTAAAGGGATTTTTCCAGGTGATGAACAAAAAGCGAATGCCTCGTGATCATACAACTCCTATGCTTGTAGCTGTTCTTTCGATATTTCTCGTTGCCGAACTTCCTCAGGGAATGTTACATGTCTGTAATGCCATCTATTCGAACGAAACCTTCTATCAAAAGGTAAATAAGTCAACAAGCTTGAAAACAACTTTCAAAATATACTAATTTTTTTTAAATTTGGTCTTTGGGTTATCTCAGTCAGCTGTCTATTAAGGGTTATCGCTTGATACAGGTTCAACTTTATTNTTTAGATTTATATACCGCTTGGAGACCTGATGGATCTGTTGTCTTTGCTCAATTCTGCTGTGAATTTCCTTATCTACTGTGCAATGAGTCGAAAATTCCGTACTGTCTTCATGCAGACGTTCCTTTCCTGTCTACCGGATCCACTTTATCGGTACGAGACCCACATTCCTCTTGATTTCCTTGAAAACTTTCTATCTGAAACGATCATTTACTATTTTCAGAAAGTTCCTGAAAGATTGGCCAGCACTGGCTGAACTGGAAATGTCTCGGCATAAACCATCTGGTCTCACTGATCTTACTAGGAGTGAGCAGGTAGGTGCTCATGTGGGACGAAGCCTGGTTCAGGGCTACCTAACTTCGGTATTTTCCAGTTGGCTCTAACTTCACATCGGGTCTCAGCAACTTCGATGCTGATCCATGCAACTGCCAAAGAGAGCACATCGAAAATGTATACAGGAAATCTGCTTTCTGTCGGTGAGTAGAGCTGCTGCTACTCTGAAAAGACTCGCTCTTTAAATCTGCATTTTTAGACCCACCCCGATCCAGAGCAGTTAGTTTTGACGCGCACCCGGCGACGGATTTGATGGCAAGAAATAGTCTGGAAATCCATGAAATCCGACTGGTAGTTCCCAATATGAACAAGGTACGGGACGATCCCAAATTGCCAAAACTTCTTTTTTGGGTTTTCTGAAAAAAATGTTTTTTTTTCAGCAAGATCTCGGGTTCTTTTCGAATACGATGTCGAAGATCCGTCACTTCTGGGAGAATGGCACCAACGCCATCGAAAGCAGCCCTCAACGTCGTATCAATCTGATTAAATGCGAAACTCAGTACTAATGAAGTATGAGAGACGACGAAGCAATTCAGCCACCGAGCAGAGACGCAGAACATGACGCAGTTTCTGTTTCTCTGTGCCTGCTTCGCTCATTCTACCGTATCGAACATGAGAAATTTAGATGTTACTGAATTCCTATTTTCATGTAAATGTTTACTTAAACGGGTATTACTAAAATAACGATGACTTTCTCCAATCACGAAATTGCACGGGTCATCAAAATTCTTTACTATTGGATTTGTTCCCGAAAGAATTGTTGTAATAAATATTTTATTGAGATTTTTTGTAATGATTCAGCCTGAACTGGCCTTCCAAGATGAATGTCTACCAGACAATCCCATTTTGAGCTCAATTAGCAGTATACGGAGACAAGTTAACGTCAATGATGTTGCAAACTTTTGCAAAAAATTCAAGATGGGAAGTTCGTAGTTGAGAAGTCTGTCGTGAGGAATCCCCTGAAAAAAGTAGTTGTATTGAACTTTTTGGGAGTTAAGGATCAGTCTGGAACTTTGCATTTTAGCTAGGAACAAGTCAGTTCCTTCAATTGCCAGAGGAGGATTGTGTGGTGATGAGTTGGGTGTGCTTCTTGGAATACTGAAAAATTCGATTGTTTTCTATACCGGAGAGAAGAGACTAAGGCTTCCGACTCATGACATCGAAACTGAATGGCCAAGTCCGATTTGGCAAGGTAGGCAACATTGCGACCGGCTAGTACCGGCCGTGCGAAAAGTATCTGCCAGAAACTGCAGAAAGATGAAGTTTTTTCCTTGGATTTTCTAGAAGCCCAGTAAAACTTTATAAAACATGCCCCTAAGCTTGGGAAATTTTTATAAAACACGCTCCTAAGTTATCTGGAGATTTCGTGATTTCACAATATGTCGACCAGATTCAGCTTCACCTCCCACCTCTTTTTTTGGCTGTGAAGTGCTGGAACAAGGCGTCCGAAGCTGTCAGAAAGTTCGGTTGGAAATTGAGATGTTGCAAAAGTTCCTGCAAAAAAATTCCGCTCACCCTACTGAATACTTCGATCGGGAACGGTCAGGCATTCCCAGGTAATAAAGCTTTTCACTCACGTGTCTTTTGAGAGACCTGCTGAAGTACCCTCTACCATCATTACCTGGGTGGCAATGAATCTTCCAAACAAATTCCCAGTTCTCTACCTAGATGATGTATTATATGTGTATTTGATTGTGGTTGTTGTTCAGGTTGTTAGGTGGGGACAGTGCTCCAATCTAAGAATCGGACCGCCCGTATTGATTCCGCAACACCCGTCCGTACAGACCCTTGCTCCTCATCTTTTGCTTTTTTTCTATTTTTTAACGTTTTTTTTTTGAAGATTTGATATCATTTAAGTGCATGTGCACTATGTTCTCACCTTCTTTCTTTTTTTTTGTGATTTCGTTGTGGTATCGATACTGCATTGCCCGCTCTGATTTGTGAAGCATTGCAGCTGGTCATCAGGGTGTGTTAAAGTACAAGAATATTTGATGAAAGTTGAACAAAAGCCCAGATTCCTCCCGTGACTCTGGAAGGCTCTATAGAAATACCCTAGAGGCAGGAAAATATCGTAATCGGCGGAATGTTCGAAATCCTTCTTCAACCTTTCCATTAGGGTCTGTGAAGCGTTGGAACGAGGAGTGCGTAGAATTGCTGGAAAAGGGCTTTAAGCACAAAGCCGGAGACACGTTTGAATGGCTTTCAGCAACGGGGGAGCCGATTTTGAACTCATGAATAAGTAAATATCGGATATGCGCAGGCAGTTCTGTCATTGTATGCCGAACTGTACAA